GTAACTTAATTTTACTTCGCATAACTTGTAAAAAAATATAAAAATATCACTCTTCATAGATATTTAAAATACTAACATAAAATTGATAAATACTAACATAAAACTAAATATTAAATTTAATTAGATTTAACATAAGAAAAAAAAAACAAATCAAAGTAATACCAATTCTGAAAAAAAAAAACAAAAGATATTTTAATTTCATTATAGGCACACTTATTTCTTTGTTAGATATTAGTGTCTTGCATTCTTGAACTTGCTTTGTTTTAGAAAGAAATGAAAGACAGAGCTAAAGGAGAAGATCGATAAATAAGTGTACCTCATTGCAAACAATTCTCCTAAATAATTTCTTGTTGGAACACCAATACCTCTTTTTTTTTTCTTATATTTCGTGTTCTTAGGTTCTCCGCCATTGCAAACTATCAATGATCAGTGAATGTTTTAACTGTGTATTTGAAAGAATTTGTATAAATGATAAAAAGAAAACAATCTTATAAAAGATTTATATGTATGAAGGTTTAAGATTTACAAGTATCTTAGTATTTTTAACAAGTTGCACGAAATAAAATCAAGTTGTGTTTAGCAATTCATATGAATCAATCGAACAAATTAATTTTTACTGTAGTAGGAACATGGGTATTACTCCCTCCAGTTTGTAATATAAGGCATAATTAATTACTTTTTAAGAATTAATAAAATTAATTAAATTAACTACTTTTTGGTAAAAAAAGAAATTATATTATTCCTATTGAAAATTCCCCACATTTCCCAACAAAAGATATAAGACACCCATCAAATTAAAGTAAACTTAATTAGGGATAAATTGAAAGTACACCATAAATAAAATTTTGATGGCATCAAACGCCTTATAAATAGGATTAAGAAAAAGGCAAATTTTAGGGTCCTGTTATGAATTTTGGTGATGGATAATGATTCGTACAGTAAAATCTTATATGAAAATTTAACAAGCAATAAATCATGACCTTACGTTCTTATACCTTTCCTTTAGGGCCTGTTTGGTTGCTTGGAAAGTCGAGGAAAGTAAAGTTAACATTCCTGAGATTTTAATTCCGAGAAAAATTAATATTTTATTTTATTTTATGATTCTCGAGAAGATGATTCCGGAGAATCTAAATACTTTCCTATATTTGTTTACATGTTCGGAAAATATGCTTGAAAGTGAGATTCTTTTTTAATCGCCTATAAACATCCAACATGCCTATTTTGAAATTTGATTCAAAATCTTGAAGCGATCCGCTCAAAATCTTAGTTTAAAAAAAAAAGAAGTTATTTTGATAAATAGTCTAGTTTTATGTGGAGAAATCAAATATTTTATTAATTAATAATGTAAAAAGATCGTTGTTTGTTTGCTAACCATTAGACATATCATTATGATTCATATTGCAAATTAAATTAGATTAAATTATTTTTTAACGAATTTTCAAAGTTAATGTAAGTTCTTCCAAATTATATCATTTTATTAATAAATTAACTATTTGTTAATATTTTCAAATAAAGAATTTTGATTTTTTAATATTATGATAATTTTAATACTGAAAAATCAAAATTTATAATTTTGAAATCAAAATTAATTTATAGATTATTTTATATTAGACAATATAAATTAATTGCAATGATTAATTTATTTGATCAAAGAATTGACAATTTGAAAATAGAACATGCGTTAATTAAAAAATAAATGTACAGTATAATAAAAATGGTGTGGAAATGAGACATAAAAAATGTAGGCACAAGTTTAAAATCCAAAGGAAAGTAAAATGAATAACTTTTAGGTCGATAATCACAATGCTGAAATCTTGCACTTATTTTCCTTGATTCTCTTTGACTTTGAGAATATTTTTACTTTCCTAAAACGAAACAAACATTGGAATTTAATAATTAGGAAAATGATTACTTTCCTGAACAAAACAAACATGAAAATTTAAAAACAAGGAAAAATATTACATTCCTACCTAGATTCTAAGACAACCAAACAAGCCCTTAGGGGTGTTTATCTATTTAAGGGTTATGAGATAGTTAAGATTTTTCGCCACCTCTTTTCTTGTACTCCCTCCGTCCCATAATTATTGTCCAGTTTTACTAAAATGGAAAAATTTTATTTTTGGTCAAATTTAACTATATTTTACCTTAAATAACCGGATATACCCCTACATAAGTAATTGTTTAACCACTAAGATTTTATAGATAATGTTTTTTACTAAGGACAAATATGTAACTTGATCCATAAAAAGTCAAATTGGACAATAATTTTGGGACAAAATTTTTTGGGTAAAGTGGACAATAATTATGGGACAGAGGGAGTATCTTGTTAAATTTTTCAGCATGGTCACGCCCACATTTAATTAATAAGTAATAATCATAAAATTATGTTATACTTACCAAATAGTACATGCACACTTACCAAATAAATTATTTAAAAAATTAAAGTTTTAACTTGGTAAACATTCTCATAAAGTCTTAAATATTCTTTTGGGCGAACTGCATTTTACCTCCCGAGTTTTGACTCAATCTACCAAAACCCCCCCAAGTTTTGGTAATACTACCATATACCCCCTTGACTCCTAGTTAACCTACCAAATCCCCCCTCATCATACTAACATTATCATCAACTTTGTGTAAACGGTTAAAAATACCCTTCATTTTTATTGTTTACATTATAAAATTTAAATTTTTTAAAGAAAATAAATTAAGTTTAAAAAATACTCTACATTTATTCTTTAATATATGTTAATGCACATAATAATAAATTTCCAAACTTAACTATATCAAGTATCATGTATTCTGATATAAAATAATCTTTATTGATTGATTTTTATGAAACATAATAAATTTAATATTATTAATCATGAATTAAATTTTATTTATTAACTTGTTGTAATTAGAAGTAAACTGACAAATTTTAATTAATTTTTATTTTTAATTGTCAAAAAATTAAAGAAAGTAAACCCAAAAAACAAAAGGAAATGGAATATATGTAAACCATGGTCATTCTAGTTATTTTCATGTTTGAACCTGCTTAGAGGGTAAATGGTAGTATTACCGAAACTCGGGGGGTTTATGGTAGAAGGGGCTAAAACTGGGGAGAGGGGGTAAAATGTAGTTCTCCCTATTCTTTTTAGTTTAATATTTAAATTACACACAACTAAATGTCTAATTGCACATTTGTTTATATCATTGATATGTCTTACGTTAACTTTTATTTTATGTTCTATAAAATAATTTAATAAGCTATAAGAGAGATATAAATGTTGCTAATTTTTATCTATAAAATAATTTAATAAGCTATAAGAGAGATATAAATGTTGCTACTTGCTAGTTTGTTCATGTACAGTAATTTTGTAAGCTTAAAAAATACATATTACACATTAACTTACGAATTATCGTATCGTGCCCCCCCCCCCAAAAAAAAAAAAGACTTGCATCTTTTAAAATACAATTTTGATAACTTAAATAACTTAAAGATGAGTATAATCGTTCCAAGGAGGGCACAGAGGTAAGAATGTATTTCCCCTCCTTAGCGGTCTGTCATCCATTGTATGGGGAACTTTGTAATAATATAATAAGATTATAAGAGTGAGATAAGGAAAAAAAAAAAAAAACAACTTAACATTAATCCAACAAACAATCAAGTACTTTCTATACTATAAAAATCATGAAATGCACATAAACCACAAGATAAATAGAGGATTATCCTTTGATCATTCATCGAAAGATATTCTGCAATTGGAGCTCCGGGCCATGGAAAAGATTGGTAAGGTTTTTACTCATCGCTAACTCTAAATCATGCTCTGAAAGTTTCTTGCATTGAAAACAGATGAAAACTTCTCCGTTGCCATAACGGAGTGATCTGCACCTCAAAAGAATGAGGAAAAGAGTGTTTGTGGAACATTTGGCAACTGGCTAGAGAGATTCATAAGATATCCATCTTTTGAACATGGCTACACATTCTTCATGCTTATACTCGGGCGCAATATGACCCGCTCCCTGTTACATTAACCATCATAAAGTTGAGGATCAGGTCAATGTAGGTTCAACTAATGCTAATTACGAGGGGATTTACTATAAAGCAAGTAATAGTTTAGGCCACGAGGTTGGTTAAGACCCCACTTTTGTAATGTTAATCAGAAAATTTTTATTTTCTCATTATTCTAATAAAAGGCAAAAAAATAAACTCGATCGTTTTACTATATAAAAAAATGTTATATTTATTTTGATAATGAAAAATTAAAATCAACCAACATAAGAAAACTCACTTAACCGTGAAAATTTCTTTAAACATGAAGATAACTGTAATATTGATGGTTAAATTTCTTTTATAACTAAAAAAATGTTAGGATTAATAAAGGTTGAAAAAAAACACTCCAACTGGTATAATTAATTATAAAATTCGATATCTTCTAGTATTATAATTGAACTGCTACCATGATAATTGATTGTTTAGAAAATAAATTTTCCAAATTAAACAATTTAGTGCATTGACTATCTCATTAGTTGAACAAAAAAGAATACATCAAAATTAATTGATTTGATAAGGAATATTAACTAAAGTTTTTGTGTCCAACAAATTGTACGTAATTAAATTTCACGTAAATTGCACAAAAATAGCATTAAATTTAGATAGTGTTTTAATATATTATTAAAAAATCCCAAATTTTCTTTTTTATTATTTTTTATTCCTTTTAACTGACATACTATAATGTTTGTGTAGAGTTTAACTGTTGGACAATGTAAGTGGAAAAAAATGGTATATGAACAAAATGATGATGGCATTCAAATAGAGTGTAATTGATGTGGATGTTGTAAGAGTAGAAGCTATAGAAAAGGGAGGAGTTTCTTGCCTTGACTGTCGCGTAAGTCATCTTATTGGCATAGGTCCTTGTATAACTGCATTATCATGCATGAGAACGTAGAAGTTCGTGTAATATACTTTCAAGAGTATACATCCAAGAAACAACATAACAAAAAGAAGAAACAAATACTGTTTAAGTATACCCGGCGACTTGGTCCTCAACAATCCATTGCCTCCAATCATCAATGATTTGGTAATTTAGAGACTTAATCCACGCTTGAGTTTCCAAATGAGGTACGATCATATCATGGTCGCCACTGAATCACAAAAGTTTTACTATAAGCACTACTTATCCACATATGCACTATGTTCATAATGTTTAAAAATGATTTTTTTTTTTTTTTTGCAACCTGTATACAAGGGATCGGTAACCTTTAATGCTAAGGTTAGCATGATATGGTACAACATTGTCCACATCATCCGTGAATGACAAACTGAGGTTACATCGTACCCACTCACCAATGCTTCCCTGCCATCTCAATGTGTCCAAGAAACCAGATATAAAAGATAAGTATGGACAACATGTAAATACATACCAAATGCAAGCAAACATATACCTCGCGAATATGTAGAGCTTCCTGGACATTTTTGTTGTTAGACCAGTGGTAAGCCAACTTATACCCGTCCATCTAGCATAACAATCATATATGGACAACCATATGAGTTTCAAACAGAATATTAATTCAATCTAAAGTCATTGAAAAGGGATACGTTGATATATCATTGTCTTACTCGACATTTAATTGGAGTACGTTCTTGAATTCTGAGCTCTTGGACCTTCTGTGAATAAATTTCAATAGTGGGTATTTTCTCACCAAATTTTTTGGTTGGTCCAGGCGAAGCAAAAGGACAACTTCTCTCCAGGATATGTGGAGGATTAACACCACTAAGCAACTGCAGAAAACAAGTTTTGTTTCGTGATTTCTCTATATTAAAATTGTGTTTTTTTCAGTGGGGAAGACAAAAACTTTCTATGGATAGAGGTATATAAAAGCTGTGAATAGCCTAGAGAGAAATAGCTGCTTAATGTAATTTACCTGATCGTATGTCTGCATGTGTTGTAAGCAGAGTGCATTATTGGGATCTATTCTTTGATATTCCCCTTTGCAACTGTCTTTCAAGGACTGAAAAGCAATTGATAACCAGTTAATAAGGGAGCTAAACTACCAGCTATATGAAAAGATCAAAAGATCATCCAATTACTTGGTAGAGTTCATTCGAAATTAGCCCTAATCCATGAGCATGTGGGACTGCATAGTTTCCATTGCCTGTCCCTGGGTTTCCAACCATATAACCCTGAAGTCATTTGATAAGACTGCGACTTCTTAGAGATAAGAACAGGAACAACATGATCTTATTAAAACAAAGTAAATAAGTACCACCATATGACAACTGATACTTTGCTAATGCGACTAAAAGAAAGAGAGGGGCCAAAGTGGTACCGTACAAACCTTCAGATTAATTATTGGTTCAACTTCAACCTCGTTTCCTGCATTTGGCATAAAAGTAAAAATAAAAGATCACCTTCTCATTGTTGAACCCATTGTGCATGAGACTAAACATGCACTTGCATATGTAAATCTCTTAAGAGCCTAATCTAGATGGCCATTGACATTCTTAGAAAGTTAAAGCATTTTGAGGAATAGATATATGGTTTTAAAGTGTTACCATTTGATATAAGTTGAGAAACAATAGGAACCATAACGCCTCCGTAAGAGTTTCCACCGACATAGAATGGATTTGAAATGAATTCGGGGTGATCAATCAGCCACTGTCAAGTAGTAATCAACAGTCAAAATGTAACTTCTTGGAATACAGCCACTTCATCGAGACAGTCTAACTGCAGAATTTCTGCAGTATCGCAGAGCACATAGAATTGTGGATGTAGTAATATCAGTTTGGCTGTCTGGTAAAGGAGGTAATAAATAAAGATTGGACTACTATCACTTTCCTAATTAAAGCTTCAACATTTCCAATTTTTCATCAGTGCCTACCTCTGATTTTTAACACTACTGGATCAAGTGCGGGTTCAGAAATTCTTTCGATTCTGCAATAACCGTGTGATGCATACCTTCTTTAGGAATTCATACAGTTGATCAGAATTTTTTGATGTAGTAGACTGAGAAGCTTTTGCAGTCTTGGCATAAGAGAAACCAGTTCCTACCGGCTGATCCACAAATATAATGCTTGCGACCTAGCAAATAAGAACAAACTATCCTGAATCTTCACAATTCAAATCCTTAAATACTGACATTAGTCCAAGAAAAGGATGAACTTAATATAATACCTTTGTCCAAGAATATGGATTCAGTATCAACTTGGGCAAAGTCCCATCATAGAGGAAAGGTTCAAACTTTATTGGCCCTGCAAAAAATCCCCTAGTTCATCACTTGGTCAGAATGGCATTTCATAAAAATTGACCAGATGCTGTCAAGCTTTTGCAAATTAATTTGAAGGCCACAAATGAACTAAATCACTGAAAAACCAACCACCCATCAACATGAAATTCTAGAAATGGTCAAATTTCACTTTAAGGAGTGAGATCGAATCAGTTGACACGCATTAAAAGGAATCATCACCCCACTTACCAATCTCATAAGCTACGCTACAAAATGAAGTGCAACCAGGGCCTCCAGTTAACCAAAGCAAAAGCGGGTCGGTTTCAGGATTGGATTCTGACTTGATGAAGTAGTAGAAAAGCTGCACATCCTCTGATTCACCAACCCCAATGTACCTACAATAATAGGTAGAATCACAAAACCCACAAAAGATCATTCATTTCCTTTCCTAAACTAGAAACAAGTCAAGTCCCTACACTACCAGATCGGCGCTAATTAACTGTCAATCATTCTGCTGCTTACCCTGTTTCTAGCTCAAATGGCAGAGGTCCTTGAAATCCCGGAAGAGAGCTGACTATTGAACCAGCCTTAGTAAGATTTGGACAAGTTTGTAAGATTAGAAGAAACAGGAAAATCAGATTGCGGAATGATTTGGAGCTGACCCGTTTTCCCATTTGGTTTTGCATAATTGCATGTAAGCTAAGAGTCATGAAGAGCTTCTTCGAATGGATTTGTTTGTAGTTTGTGCTAACTAATTCCATCCAAGACCTCATTTTTATATGTCAGAATTCTTGCCAACAATTGGTTGCTCATCAATGCATGCATGTCCTTTTTTAGCCACGTGAACCATAAGCAACTCAATGATTCTTCATGGTACAAAACTTTGGTTCTATTTGGACAAGAGTTTTGAAAAACTTTTCAGATAAGTTTTTTTAGAGCAAAATTTCAAAAAAACTTTTTGAAAAAAAAATCCATTTGGACAAAAATTTAATAAAAAGTTTTTTGTAGTTAAAAATATGAAAAAGCCATTTGGAGTAAACCTTTTCCAAAAACACTTTTTGTCAAAAAATAATTATTGCTCTTTTCTTTTCTTTTTTTTTTTATAAAAAGAAATACTTACACAAATTTTGATTTTCATTTTTTTCACTTTTGTTTCCTAATTATTTTTTTATTATTCACAACTGTTTTATTTTAATATTATCAAAATAGAGAAAAACATTACAGATTACACAAATTGTATTGTTCTTCTGCATATTGGTACAAGCAAATCTGGAGCAAGTTAAATAAATCACAACATCATCATAATGAGTTCTGAGTTTCAAGTAAGCACATCTTAAATGTCCAAAGTACAACAGAAACAAAATTTATTCCAAATAGTGGACAATCTATTATTACAAATTCAAAATTATGCTGAACTTGGCTTTTGCAGAATTAGCTATACATGTATAAAATTTTGAAAGTTCCCTATCTGAAAATAAATTATGCTGAGTTATACATCAAACATGGACACTTTTACCAACAAGGTACGCAACTGCAAAAAAAAAAGATTGTTTGGCATCAGTAAGCGAGACCATCAAAAGTTATTCAACAGCAGCTAAATTGTTGTATTCCTTCACTGCATACCATCAAGACTTACACAATCAAGACTTACACAAGTTGACATTCAGTTGAAATACAAATTTCCCAAAGGAAAGACACCCAGAAAAATAATCTATGTAATCAGCAATCCAAAGGACCTCATCCATCGTGATAAACCATCCAGCTTCTATTCCTCATTGAAAAAAGGATAGTATAAAAATTTGACCTCATATTCCTAACTTTGGAAGCCGAAAATTGAAGTCAGTTGTCCTATGAGGATAAAAACTAAAACTAACAAACTGAAGTTGATAAGACCCACGAAAACCTAGGTTCCTTGTAAGAGAACAGATTTCATGTGAACAAAAAATCAATTGCAAGAGACTTCAACTACAAGACATCACTAGAAAGCAAAACACAATTCAGAGATACTTGGCTATTTGATTTAAAACCTTATCTATATTTACAATCAACATATTATAAAAGCCAACAAAAGTGAATAATGACCAGCCACTTACAAGAAATCTAACAGGAAATAGGACAACATTTAGATTTCATTAATTTAAGGAATAGTTTCGTGGAAGAACATCGCATTTCGAGCCACAAACAGGCAAAAAACACAAAAACCGCTCACAGGCACATGAAACTTAAAGTAACTGAATCCAAGAGTTTCAACAGCCCATTTACTTCAGGAAAAGAGATGCATACAATTAAACTGAAGGCCAGCAGTATTAGTACAGTAACTAATTAAAGGCTTGTAAAAGTTTTAGCAAACATGGAAAGCATAAAAAAAACTGCTAACACATTAGCAACCTGATGAATGCTCCTAAATGCAAAGCTTTTCGGTTCTAACACAAAGCACATGCAACTGGCCTAAGTCACCGCCTTGAAGCCTAGTTTTACATATGTAAGAACAGCACAAAATTGAGAGACAAGACAACAAGATTGAAAATTATGCTTGACCACTGAAGGAAACACCCTTCCCCACCTCATTTCTCAACAAGCGAAACGGGAGAAATCTCTAACAAGCAATCTCATTAAACATCAATAATTTGCCTATGCCAAGCTATCGAGCACACTTTTTCTTCATAGGACAATTTAAAATATTTCTGATGATTTTTTTCGTACATCAATAGGAAAACATTCTCCTTCCAATAATACCCAGGGAGAAAAAAAACAACATGAGCGGCCTTGACTCAAAAATCATACCAATTCAATCCAACAGAAATGAAAACCGCACAAACAATCATTAAATAACTTATCTAATCATCATCAAATATAAAACAACTTGTAAATACCCCATGTGTATGTGTTCAATGAATTCAACTAAAACAGCAACTACGCATCCATTAACACAGGCTACACAGTTGTACCTTTTTAGAAGACTCAAAAGAATAAGCAAAACCAAACAACAATCTTATATCATGACTTGTATCCTGTACTTATGTGCAATGTTTAACACACTACTAAGTTGAGATTTCATCAGAAAAAAAATTGTGCACAACAAAAGACCTCTATCCCCTGAATCAATCTATTTGTTGATCATGCATCATTCTCCAGCAAAGCACTTAACCATAATTCACAACTATCTTAGAAGATCCTCCCCCCCTTCCCCCCTCCCGCCCCCAACACCCACACTCACAAATAAGGTAGGGTCATTCCACGGCAACATCCATCAAAACATCACATTCAATCTTATCTCACTGAAGACCATAAATCACATAGGTCCAGAAACCAAAACTAGCAAACGACAAGAGTACTTTTTAGGGCAACCCAAGACCATGATACAGATTGTAATTCACTTCCTTTCGACAGCACAGACAATCATATAGGTCCAGAAATTTCAGACAAAACTAGCAACGAGAAATTTCAATGCAAAACAAAGATGAAAAACCATCAAGCCCATGGAAGAAAAACATGAAAATCATCAAACACATTCTGAATGTACCTCAATAACTAAAACCCTTTTTCAGAATAATCCATGGTAAAACAACAAGAATTCGATTCAAAATCTTGGTATCAAAAGAATAATTTGATGAACCCATGTGAAGGAACCTAATTAATCAAGAGGCAAAAAAGAAAAGTGGGAGAGGAATTAGAAACTTCATCGTAAGGGGAAAAAATTCGTCACCATCGATTGCATTAAAATCGCCGGAAAGTCACCGGAGAGCGACGATTGATTAATGAAGGAGAAGATTGGAGGAGAGGCCGGCAAATATAGAACTCAAAAAAATAACGCGAAGAGTGTAATGGCCTAAATGGGGGGAAGACAATCCGACTTGTGTTATGATCCAGTTTCAAGCCGTTTAGATCCGCGAACTGTTCATGAAAAAGTCTGTTCTGAAAATTGAAAAACTATCTCCCATTTATTTTCTAAAAAGTCTGTTTCAGACCTACTTTTTTCAAAAAATAATTTTAAAAGAGACCCTAAATTTGTTAGCCAAATAACTTCTTGACTCTAAACAGACTTTTTAGCTCTAAAAAACTTTTTAGAACTCTTGTCCAAACGGAGCCTTTAGTATTATTGTTTACTGGCAACAAATTAGTCTAGTGAAATTTGAATTAGTCTAAATAGTAAAAGTAGAACTTCAGATTGTAGGAGAAATTACTCCCCTCATTTACAGTGGAAAAAGAAGGAAATGGGAAGCAAAAACTTGTTTATTACATTTCTTCATTCAACAAGCATAAAAGGGAAAAATGTATACTAAAAAAAATAAAGAAATCCATGGCGACAAACCCCCCGATGATCTGCAAATTGTTACTCTTTTATACTACTTGAGACAGAAAGCGTATTTTAAAATGCTTATTTTGAAAAAGTTCTCTAATTGTTTTTTCTTCAGATACAACAGAAACATAATTGGCATGTCATATATATCTATAAGAATCAGAAGCTCTTAACATTCGATAATGTACAAAAGTAACTAAATAAACTACGAATTAAGTAGTAATAAATTGTTAAAAACTTAAGATTCACTGACCGTAACGTCATCGGATTGATTGAACAAATTAATCTTACTACTGCAGGATCTTACGGTGGTGATACTCCCTCTGTCCCTAAGGAAAAGGGTAGATATATGGTGAAGAACTAGGACCACATCAGCATGACAAAACCATAAGGGGGAGACAAGAGATATCAGGCCATATGTTGCTGTTTTCATCGAAACAGTAAAGTCTATTATTGATAAGAATGCATTGAAGCTCTGACAATTGAGGTCTGGATGTTACCTAGGGTAAACGAAAGAAAAGAAAAAAAAAGAAACAATGGGTAGTAAAGATGCCCTAGCTGTACACTTGAATGTTCTGTTTGCTAATCAGGCCTGTTACAAAAGCTGAATGAATCAGCAAGAATCGACCACCATTTCCTCATCTGTCGGCTGTGAATTTACAGCACTCTTTTCCAACTCCATGGCTATAACCTCTTCCATCTTCTTACTGTCCTCTATTTGGTCAGTCTTCAATTTCTGAAATATAGAAAACAAGGTGGCTCACTATTTTTTACAGTATAACGGTTATACATAAATGATGAGTCACAGGGATTGTAATAGACTACACAAGTGAAAAAAGTGCCCCACAACAGATTTAAACTAGTTCTCACTGTAGGGATCTCTAAGTTTGTAATTCTAGTAAGTATAAGTCTGGTCAATTACATGCCATTTCCATCTGCCCAGTTCCTACTCTCTTTTTTTTTTTTTTTAGCTTATTTGGAGTTAGAGGGATGGGAAATTAACTCTTTTCTGGGTATTTGGTAAAAGTTAAGCAATTAAAAGACTGCTTACTTTTGTTGCCGGAGAACTGTCCTTCGTCATACGTGAAAACATAGTTGTATAAATTTGTGCATCACTCTTGTCACTCTCAGCCTGAAGTTGTTTCAAATTCTTTTGTAGCAGTCTCACCTCCCTGAGAGAAATAACAAGAGCTCAAATTTCAAATCAACCCAAAGGGGAAATAAAGATATAACAAGAGAAAGCCCAAATGAATTATATTTTTTTTAGAGATCACATGTACACCTGTTTTGGGGGTCAGTTTCTAGAGCTTTCAAAATGTCCAGTTTAGCCAAGTGTAGATCCGCAGTTTCCATGTAAGCTTGGGCTCGCCTGTA